AGTCAGAGCACACCTCGCTTTTTCAGACTGATGAGCTTTGTAAAAATCGACGCGTTTCAAAAAGGCGGGGCATAGAGGAGAAACAATAATGTACAGTATGTGGAAAATAATGTGTTTTTTTAACTTTAAACCGCATAAACACATTTCATTACACCAAATACACAAAATAATGTTCTTTTTAGCAACATCATATGACCCCTTTAATACATGGCTCAAAGCACCTTCTCAAAACTTTTGGCAAGAAAAAGGATGCTTTTTGTTTGTTTGCTGACAGACACCAGTGTTTCCTACAGACTGCAAATTAATTCTCTGCCAGCAGGAGGCGCTGTTGGAGCGGGAGATATAGCGGTTTCCCCGGTAACGGCTGATCTGTAATCAAATCAGCGCAGCACTCACAAACGCTACTCTATCAGGCATTACAGGAAAGACGAAATGAAAATGACATCGAAGCTTTTCTGAAGACAGTCGGTTATTTTCAAATATACATTCATATAAAAACACCCGCGCTGCATTTTAATTTTGAAACGTGAAGCGTTCATTTTATTCAACGAAGTATAAGCCTTTTGGAAAATATTTGTGGCGGTCAGTTTTGATATTGTGACGAGCCGACACAAATAACTCAATGTATAGGAAACACTGGACACTGCTATAAGTCAAATAGCCATAGTGATAACAAAAATAAAAGATTTCACACATTACACAGCAAGAGTGCGCTGGCCACGAGCGATGAGATCGTGGAGGATATTGTCGGACACACACACACACATTTCATGAGGAAAGTTAACGTGCACGTTATAATCAGCCCAGAAGTTTCGTCTGAATTTAACGTGTTCACATAGAAAACACTTATTTTAAATTGTAATAATTTTTCACTATTTTTGCTGTATTTTTTATCAAATTAAATGCAGCCTTGGTGAGCAGAAGAGAATTTTATCAAAAACATCAAAAAATCTTAATTATTTCAAACATTTGACATTAGTGTAAATCACATTTTAAAAGTGAAACGGGTTTAACGCAGTGTTGTGATTTCTGTAATGTGTAAGAGTGGGGTTACATTTTGATGAAAAATTATAAAAGCAGAACTTTTTTTTTGGTGCAGGATAAAACTAGAAACTTGAATGTTAGTGAATAGTTTTCTGTATAGATATTTCCAGTATAGATTGCAGCAGTGTGGCAGTAATGTCTCTCTAGTGTGTTCTTAGGAAACTCACTTCATGTGTGTGTCACTCACACACGATTAGTTTCATTTCTGCTGAAGCGCATAAGAGAGGGAGGGAATAATAGAGTGACTCAGTGGGAAAATAAGGGAAAATTCCAGCTTATTTTCAGTGTAATGTTTAGAGATGCACCGATTGCAATTTTCTTGGCCGATTTCTTTTGTAAGTGTGACCTGCCGATACCATTTTTTTTCAGATTTTCTTTCTAAAAACTATAATTGACAGCATATTCAAACTAAAATCTATACTTTTTTTAATGCAAAAAAAATTATTTACATAGTAAAAAATTATTAAACATTACAATTCCCCCAATCTGGACAAAGTTACAGATGTTCTCTCACTTAAACAACTCTCAAAACAAAGTGCTGTGTGACTAGAAAAGAGGTAGAAATAGCAATTAACTAAAAAGGAGTTGCTGTATATAACAAAACAGATGACATTTCCCACTGCGTTTCTTAAATTGTCATCATTTTTTCACTAACCTTATTAAATGTCATCTTTCGCATCAAATTCTTACGTTGTTTTTAATTAAGAATAATAAGAAACTGTTGAGCTGTTACCATTCAAATTAAATCAGTATCAGCATCTTTCCACTGCAGCAAACACAGAAGCTGCATCTGAAGTATTAGATGTATTTACAGACTGTTTGATGAAGTCGAGGCGCCATAAATGCATTTACACTGCAAAAATTTCAAATGCATAAAGAATTTTATAAGAATAATGTTTTAAATATTTTTTAAACATACAAATAAGAAATGTTGGGGGAAAAGCAACGATAGTTTTAAATATGAAACCAAACCAGTAGGTGGCGTCAAATGACCGTTTGATTGAGTGAGTCATTTAGTCATTCAACAGATTCGTTCAAATGGCCGATTCATTCAGAAACACTGTCTTTGTGAATGGGCCACTGAATCATTGACTCATTTGATTCGTTCAAAAACACTGTCTTTATGAATGGATTACTGAGTCATTGACTCATTTGATTCGTTCAAAAACACTGTCTTTATGAATGGATTACTGAGTCATTGACTCATTTGATTCGTTCAAAAACACTGTCTTTATGAATGGATTACTGAGTCATTGACTCATTTGATTCGTTCAAAAACACTGTCTTTATGAATGGATTACTGAGTCATTGACTCATTTGATTCGTTCAAAAACACTGTCTTTATGAATGGATTACTGAGTCATTGACTCATTTGATTTGTTCAAAAACGTGGATTCATTCAGTAACGAAACACCGCTGTGTTGCTCGGAGACACAAAACAGTTCTGATGTGGCTTTGATTGAAACTATTCTCATCAGCGAAATTGAGCAAAAACAGTCAATATTGTGTCTAAAATGTAAGTCGCTTAATTTTAACTTCTTGTTTATTGAACTACTATTGTATAAAATCACATTGCAATCGTGTTGAAATATTTTGGTTGTGCATGTTGCATACCTAACTCGTATATTATAAATTTCTTATTTTACTACCGCTGTATGCATAACTTTCTGTGTGTGATCGATCGGTGCATCTCTAGTAATGAGCTCTTGTTCTCTCGGCGTCCCTCAGAATAACTGGGTCCCGCGGCGAGGAGATCTGGGGCCGAAGACCATCGAGCAGATCCACAAGGAAGCAGAGCTGGAGGAGCACCGAGAGCAGGTCAAAGTTCAGCAGCAGCTCCTGTCCAAGAAGGACAGCCGCAGTGGAGGAGCTGGAGGAGGAGGAGGAGGAGGGATGGGGCCCCGTGGAGGCCCCCACACACCCGGTTCCCGTGGCAACCAGGCCCCTGATGACGGCTGGAACACGGTGCCCATTTCCACCAAGAACAGACCCATCGACCCGACGCGCCTCAGCAAGATCACCAAGGTCTGATTCCCCTCCAGTACATCCATCAGTCACACCTGAATCACTTAATAATCAATTATAGAAGAAGGTTTATAGAAAGAACTGTTATAGAAATGTACCATGGACAGTAACATTTACTGTAAGAACTCTGGCAGAAATTTTATATTCATATTAAATATGTGACCCTGGACCACAAAACCAGTCATAAGGGTCAATTTTGTGAAATTGAGATGTATACATCATCTGAAAGCTGAATAAATAATCTTTCCATTGATGTATGGTTTGTTAGGATCGGACAATATTTGACTGGGATACAACTATATGAAAATCTGGAATCTGAGGGTGCAAAAAAATCTAAATATTGAGAAAATCATCTTTAAAGTTGTCCAAATGAAGTTCTTAGCAATGCATATTACTAATCAAAAATTAAGTTTTGATATATTTACGGTAGGACATTTACAAAATATCTTCATGGAACATGATCTTTACTTAATATCCTAATGATTTTTGGCATAAAAGAAAAATGTATAATTTTGACCCATACAATGTATTGTTGGCTATTGCTACAAATATACCCCAGCGACTTAAGACTGCTTTTGTGCTCCAGGGTCACATATTACTCTATTATTAATATTAATTTATAAATGTCAGTGTTATTGTTGTATTATTTCTATAATATTACAGTTATTAATGTTTTGAATTAACATTTATTTTTATACTTTCTGTTTTTATTTTTATTTATTTCTTTGAAGTCTTTGTGTGCTTTGGTCATTTTTAGTACTTTTTGGTTTTTAATAATACAATTTTTTTTTTACATTTTAGTTTTAGTTCAGTTTTAGTTTTTATTTCCAGTTTTTAGTGCATCAACCTAACCTTGTTTCAGTTAGTTGCCAAAGCAACATTTCTGATTTTAATTTAGTTTTCATCTCGTTTTCAATTAACAAAAATGTTTTAATAGTTTTAGTTTTAGTTAACAATAATAACCTCGATAGAATTTTTATATTATTAATATAATTGAATTATTTAAATATATATATTTTACAAAAATATAATTGATGAGAGGTATTCATTTTTTTTTACTTGTAGTTTGTAAATATATTTAAATTACTACTTTAGGTTACAGTTTTTAAGATTGTTAAAAAAATTAAGAAAATTATTATAATTTATCATTTAAATTATTTCAATAAGTTAATAACACTCGCATGTTCTCTGATGTCGGTTAATGGTTACATGACATGCAGGTACACAAATAAAATATATATTAATTTTAACTTACATTTTTATCATTTTTAGTGTTTCATTCTTTATTTTAAATATTACACTTTTTTAAAATTTATTTTTAAATATTTAAAATTTAAAATTTAAAATTTAAATTTTTACATTTAAAATTTTTATATTTACATTTTTAGCTTTTCATTTACTCTCAAACCCCCTGCAGTGTTATGTTAGTGTGATTGAGTTGCTATTGTAGTTTTTATTAGTATTTTGATTCAGTTTTTCATCTTAATTGTAAAATATTAGTAATTTTGTTGTGTTTTTGTCATGTTTAGTAGTTTTTGTTCATGTTATTTATTTAATATGTCTACATAGTTTTGTTTTTATAAATTTTTTCCCCAGTTTTTGATACTCTCTGACTTACACTCACTGTTATCATTGAGCACTAATGCTGTTTGTGTGTGTGTCGTGCAGCCGGGCGCTTTGGACTTCAATAATCAGCTTCTTGCCCCCGGAGGTAAAGGCTCGTGGGGCAGTTGGGGCAAAGGCAGCAGCGGAGGCTCAGGAGCCAAACCCAGCGACAGCGGTGAGTGTTTGTACACGTCTGATGTATTATGCACACATATTCAGACGTGGTGTGACTCTAATGTGTTTTACAGCCCAGGATTCTGGTCGTACCAGCACTTTGAATCGATTTTCAGCACTTCAGCAGCCTTCCTCCTCTTCTTCATCATCATCCGCCAACATCGACTCTGACAGGAGGGTTCCTCACAGGTCAGAGGTCACACACAGGGATTCTGGCTGGACAGGGTTATTATGCTTATCGAAAACCATTAAATAAAGCAATAAGCCCTAAGAAGAGTAGAGTAGAGTCATTTACAACAGCTTCGAACGTGGCTCAACCAATCAGAATCAAGGACCGGAACTATCGGTTTTATAATAAACATTTGTTTCTTGAAATGAAATTAACTGAAATAACATAAAATATGTAAAATATTTTAAATGTATATATCAATCAGAGTTATTATAGTTAACTAAATACATTTTTTTTTTAAACACGTTTTCTTCAGTTAAAAAATAAAATAAAATGTTAACTGAAATAAAACGTTTCTCATTTTCACTTCGTCGAACTTGATGTACTAAATCTAAAACGGAAAAATACAAATAAAAATTAGACATAAAAAGAATAACAGTAGACAATTAATAAAGCAAAACTAATAAAAAATTAATTAGAAATGTTTTGTTAGAATGCCCAGCTATAAATGATGCAAGGAAACATTTTTACTAAAAGTACATTAATTGACAAAAAAAAAAAACTGGAAGAATATTAGAATTTTTGATCAGTTATTAATTTGAAAAATTGTATATCAATGTTATTTTTTATTTATCTATTACTTTGTTTTGAATTGTTTGTAAAGGTGCTTTTTAAATATTTGAATTATTATTATAATTTTTTTAATCAGTTTTTTTATCTTATGATGCTGATATGGCCTAAAAGGAAAAATAAATAAATAAAAATACATCAAATTATTGAAACTTTAAAATTAAAATCAGAATAGAAAATATTAAAACAAATTTAAAATATTAATAAACACTGCCACATGACATGCAAGTAGACATTTTATTTTTACCTTATATTTTAGTGTCTTGTTTTTTTTGTGTGCGTGTTCTTATTTTTAAATATTTAAATAATTGTTTTACTTTACAAATGAAGTATTGTTATTAAGACTATTTTAAAACTTATTATTCTTGAGTTTGCCTTGAATATAGGCTTTGATGCTGATGTGGCGTAAAATTATAAATATATAAATAAATAAAAACGTGTGCTGCGTTAAGCTAACTGAGACTCGTTATAGCACTTGCGTATCATTGCTCTCTTGTTGGTTTAGATTGCTTCTATTGTCCTCATTTGTAAGTCGCTTTGGATAAAAGCGTCTGCTAAATGACTAAATGTTAATGTAAAAATACATGAACGTATTACAATTTTAAAGTCGAAATCGAAAATATAAAATTAAATACAAACTCAAAATATGCATTAAAACTGTAATATTAATAAAATAGCACTGTTGTAGGATTCTTCTGTGCTTCGACTGAAGGTTTGTGTCTGTGTTTGTCTGTCTGTCAGGAGTAGCTCCAGTCGGGAACGCAGCGATCGTTTCGAGCGGATGGACCGGAACCGTCCCGCGGTCGGCAAGCGCAGCTTCAGCCGGGAAAAGGAGAGGAGTCGAGATCGAGAGCAGCGTCCCGCTGAGATGCTGCGGCGCGTTTCCAGCATGACAGACGAGAGAGAACGAGAACGCAGCAACGGTACGCTGAACCGGGGTCAGAGGTCACGGGTAGTGCTGGGCGGTATACCGGTTCATACCGAATGATTTGTTATGATATGAATTTTTAAAATACCGGTGTATGTCGCTTAAACAAGGTTCGGAACGCGACACTGTTTGAAACGGGTCCATTTTCACTGTTGCACTGTGGTGAGGGAACAGCTGTATGTGTTACTAAGCGTGAAAGTTCCGAAACTGAAGCTGTAGAACTAATAGAACGTGATGACACAGAAGAACCCATCCACAATATCCACATTGACCGCCACAAATATCCACCGCCCCGGGTTTAGTGACCAAAAGCACTGTGCAGTACAGGGTCATTATAGTTAAGAAAATTATATTTGGATTTTATTTTGTGTTTTGGTTTCTAGTTCAGGTCATTTTTTGCATTATTTAAAAGTAGCTCTTTTTAGAAGGACTGGGTTAAAAATGTTTTTTTTGTTTTTTTAAGTAGTCGTGGTATTTATTTGAGCAGTCTAATATCGATCCTTTTTCAGATATTTATTTCAAATCAAAATCCAAATAGATTTCAGAAAATCAAGGACATCAGCGCCAATACTCAGACCAAAATTGTTATTATTATTATTGCAATATTAATATTATTATTTATTAATATTGCAGTAATAATAATACTGCAATATTAGTTCTGATAGGTTCTAAATATTATATATATATATATTTAAAAATATATATATATATTATTATATTAATAGACTGTTTATTATATTAATTAATATTAAATATTATTGTATTACGTTAACATTTTTATGAGTTAATTAATTATTAGCTTTTTATCAACTCCTGCATTTCACTCACAAACCCCAGTTTTGCCAAAACCCAGTGCTAAATTTGTGCTATTATTAATATTTATTAATATTAATACTGCTGTAGTTTTTATTGCTTTTATTATATTTAAATATTTTAAAACTTTTTTTAATTATATAATTAATTATTAACTTTTCATCAACTACTGCAGCTCCCTCACAAATCCCAGTTTGGGAAACTCTAGCCCTTAATTTTATTTTATTGCAAAATTAACATTATTATTTATTAATATTACCATTAATATTGCAACATTAGTTATTATTACAGTATTAGTATTACAAGTGCCTGTCATTGCAATATAATTGACTTCAGAATTACTTATTCCTGTTTTTATGTAACGTAAAAAAAAATTGATTTTTTTTTTTTATGGAAAAAGGGATTGCTTTTAATGCAGATAGAACACAACACACACTGTTATGAGGTGTTTTACAGGCTTTGTTGTATGTGTGTTGTTTAATCAGTGAAGAGAGAAACCGTTCCCACTCCTCCACCTGCTTCATCCAAACCGGAGCTGACGGAGGACGAGCTGGAGAAGAAGTCCACTGCCATCATCGAGGAGTATCTGCACATCAATGACATGAAGGTACACACACACACACGCGTACACTCACACACACACTCACACGCACACACACACACACACTCACAGGCACGCACACACACACACACACACACTCTCTCACACACACACACTCACACACACCCCTCATATGGTCTGTTTGTAACGTCTGCTGCTGCTCCTCCGCTCCTGCAGGAGGCGCTGCAGTGCGTCAGTGAGCTGAGCTGCTCGTCTCTGCTGTCTGTGTTTGTTCGGACGGGAATCGAATCGACGCTGGAGCGCAGCACCATCGCTAGAGAACACATGGGTTTACTGTTTCACCAGCTCGTCAAAACACAAACACTATCCACACAACAATACTACAAAGGGTGAGACACGTCATCTGTGTGTTTGTGTGTGTGTGTGTGTGTACTATTGTAGTTTTTGTTAATATTTTGAATTAGAATTATTTCTTTATTTTTGCTGTTTTCGCTTTAATTTTAAAGTTTTAGACATTTTGTTGTTTGTATTTTTTTTTTTTTAATTAATTATGTATTTCTTTTATTCATCGTTGGTAAATTATTTTCGTTTTTGTTTCTATTTAAATTTGATTTAATATATTTTCACTTTATGCATTTTGTATTGTGTTTTTGTCATTTTTAGTTTTGGTTATATAATTTTTATTCATTTTTATTAATTAAAGTTCATTCATTTTTTTTTTCAAGTATTTTAGTACTTCAAAATAAACTAAACTAAAATTAAAAACGTTGCCTTGGCAACTATCTGAAATAAAATCAGATTTTAAAAAATATTTTAAGTAGCGAAAATTAGGGCTGTGTATCACCAGCAAAGTCACGATACAGGACTGCACTGAATTTCAACTCAGCAAAATTTAGAAAAACAGCTGTTTATTAAACACTGCTTACTATAGTGCCATTTCTAACTA